GTGAAGGGTCCTCTACATATTTATTTTTCCCGAAATTGTCTCCCCAGATCTGCAGTTCTGTTTTTACAGATTCTGATACAAGTTTACAGATTCTGAGCCAAATATTCCAACATGTGATGGTCTAAGGAGAAAATGTCTGCATGTCTTGACTTGCCTTAGGCAGTCCTAAGTCATGCCTGTTGTCCAGAACAGCTAATAATAGTGGCCCTTTATGATTAAGTTACATTTTAATTCATTCGATCAAATTCTAACTCCTATGTGTCTCTGACCATCAACATTTGCATCCTCAGTGGAATTTTGTGGATGGTCTTATTATACACCTGTGAGTGTGTCGGTATAGCCTGAAATATTAATGGGCCTTCAAATTCTAGATAATACCTTCCCAGGAAAGCTTAAAATTTTTCAGGTGGAAGAAATAGAAAATTGGAAATGATTTTCTCCTGACTGTTTCTAACATGCTCTCATGCCCCTGAAACAAGGTATACGCATGGGTGGTGAATGAGAAAGAAAACTTTGAAGGGAGAAGGGAACATTACAGGATTGCTGAAAGAGACTCAAGGCTCATTTATATTCCCTTCTTCATTCATTTGCCAAACATTTAATGAGCATCTGTGTTAGGCAATGGGAAAATTAGATGATATAGTCCATACTGTCAAGGAATCCCTGTTTAATGGGGGAGAAGTTTGAATAAATAACAGTGGACATACAGCAGCATTTAGTAACTTAACCAGAGGAGGACAAGAACCAGAAAGTGCTTGGGGAGTGGGTTGGGTTGAGGTGGGCATTTGAGCTACTACTGGAAGGACAACTGTGAGTCACCCAGATTGGAGTGGGAGGATGAGAAAAGACACTTTAGGCAGAAGGAATAGGCTCTGCTAAGGCATAGAGGTATGAAACAGTATGTATTGTATCAGTTAGCTTTTGCTGTGTAACAAACAATCCCAAAACATAGACAAATACCATTATTTAGCTTATACTTTTGTGGGTTGTCTGGGGGTTGAGGTTCATATTTCAGGGCTGGCTTGGCTGATATCTTCTGAGCTCAGTTATGCATTTATAAGTGGCTAATTTTATTTTCTTTTCCACCTTCAAAGGATGCAACGTGGATTTGTTTATAGGAATTGATATCTCAACTCCTTCAAACCAAGTTCAGCAGAAGCTTCAAAGGTTATTGTCAGGGGTGACACAACAGTTGGCCTTGCTTCCTAACATCAGTTGTGGCTTTCCTCATGAGATCAACCCGAGGTTCCGCTACTTGGTTCCTGGCTCAAATGGCCAGCTTATCTTTGACTCAGGCTTTGAGAAATACAGTGATGAGCTCATCCAGAAGTTCCTGGCCAAGAATAGCTATCTGAATGTGAATTTTTTGAAGTCCCTGGGAGAGAAGGCTCTCCATTTCTCCTCTGCTAAAGTGAAGGTAATAAATGCTGAGAAACCATACTATGGAACCACCAGGCAAGGTAGGAGGGATAAGGTTTTTGTGATGGAGGCCAACTAAATTGTTCTTTACTGGAGATCCCACATAGAAGAAAACCATACTCTTATACAATAAGAACCAATGAGAGATGTGTTTTCATTCAACAATAAGTATTTTTTAAGCCTTAGATGTGCTATGTTGCATAATGCTGGTAGGGATAAAGGAATAAAGTACCTGCCCTCAAGTTGCCCACAGTTTAGTGATTCAAATTCTTCCACAGCATAAATTCATTCCAAAGACAACTTGAAAGGTGTTTTAAGACTCCTTAGCTTTTTATGGTCACTCATTGCCATTTAAAGTAGGCTTGTTATTTTTCCAGTCATCATCTTGAACTGTCTTTAGTGACAGCTGATGGCTGTAGTGCAGCCCACCCCTCAAGCCTCTTCCTCCCTTTCTGCTGCCTCTGAACTGTGTATCCACAGAAGTCCACAGAGATGGAAACATTTCATCTGGTGTTTATTAGGAAATGATGTACCTGAGCTTCATAACCTACATTTAGTTTTTCCTTCAATTAGGCATCCAATGGACTTATTTTTGACTAATATCATTCATGTTTTAAATAAAAAATCTTTAAGTGTAAAGGAAACACATTTTAATGGTACATGTAACAGAACATTTTCGTATTTTTGTGTTGGTAAAGATGGATAGTGTAAGAATTTTTTGAAGGTATTTTTAAGCAAACAGGTTAAGCTTGTTAAAATTATTTTTTGTTCATGGGGAGGGGGAGGTTGAAATAAAAATGAATGTGTGGTAGATGAATGAGTGAAAAGACACAGCATGAAAGGCTGAGCACAACCAGAAAAAGTCACTCTGGTATTTTTAAGAAATGTGTAATTTATAGTATCCACTTTCTCCATTACCTCTCCCGTCTCCCCTATCCCCTCTCTCCTCCTTCCCTTCCTCCCTCTCTGGTTCTCCCACCCCCATCTCTCATAAACGACAGGTCCTTTTAGTGTTTACAGATGGACTGGATGATGATTTAGAGAAACTGAAGGAAACGTTGGAGCTTCTGCGCAATGATGGTAAGTGCACAGAGGTGCCGAGTGTGGGCCTCACTCCTTCCACCAGGCCGAGACACTCCTTCAGCTCTCCAGGTGGCACGGGGCCCTGTGGAGCTCCTGTGTACTCGCGCATGGGTGGAACGCAGTGCCCATGAGGCTGATGCCCAGCCTCCCTCTTTGTATGAATCAGGGGATTGTTCGAGGCTGAGAAACCCCCACCCCCAACGTCCCTGACACTGACCAAGGGTCTTCTAACTGAGACACGACTGGCTTTTGAGGGAGCTTGAAGGTGCTCCTCCTACTTCAATGATGAATAGGGGCTATCTGCTCTTTTAGGCCAACCAGGGGTCCATATGTTGTTTTTTCTTGAACTCTGAAGTCAGCCTAAATCTAGACCTTGCTCTTTGTACTGCAATTCCCCCATCTTTGCTCTCTAATTCTTCCTCCTTCTCTATTTCCAAGGACTGCTCTGCTAGTCTATATGGCATCTTTGCGAAATTGGAAAAAGACACCAAATACGCTGGCTGGATGCAAGGCCGTGCCTGGCTCCTGGGTGGTGGGGCATGCTGGCTGGGTGTGGGCATGCGTTAGCTCTCTCAGCTGGGTGTCCTTGTGCAGTACCGCTTTTTCAGATGTATACAGTGGCTATCACCATTCCCATTTTATGCCATATAAAGGTTCTAAAGAAATCTCAGAATGTACAACCAGCAACTTGACTTGTTCAAGCTCCTTTCACCTTTCTCCTTTCTCAATAGAGTATATTCAACAAATTCTGTGGGGGATGATGTTTTCCATTGGTTAATGATGTGCTGGAATATTTTTTATGACAACTTGCTCCCAACTTAATTTATTGCATAGATGGCCACTGGAAGTTTAAATTGTTGCAATTTTTCTAAAAGGGATTGGGAATATGTAATGAGAGACTGTAAACTTTGCCTACATGCCAGATTGGCAATTCCATGTCTAAGAATTTAGTTTTAAGGAATAATTAAGAATATGAGGCTAGGTATGGTGGCTCAGGCCTGTAATCTCAGTGCTTTGGGAGGCCGAGGTGGGAGGGTCACTTCAGGCCAGGAGTTCAACACCAGCGTGGATAACATAGGGATACCCTGTCTCTACAAAAAATGTAAAAAATTTAGTGGGTGTGGTGGTGCACATCTGTAGTCCCAGCTACTTGGGAGGCTGAGGCAGGAGGACTGCTTGAACCCAGGAGTTTGTAGTGAGCTATGATCCTGCCATTGCACTCCAGCCTGGGTGACAGAGCGACCCTGTCCCTAAGGAAAAAGTATGTCTATACAACTTTTAACCACATCGTCAGGCAACTTGTTTCCAATAGCAAAAAGTTGATTTCCATGTCTATTTTATGAATTTACTGTTCAAATCATTAACAATAATATTTGCTCTGAAATTCAACAAACATGGTGATTTCTTTGTGAATTTCCAAAGTATCCTAGCTCATTTGTTCTCTGATTTGTGGACAAACCCAGATGATCTCTTAATGCCTGCGTTGGAAGGGTAGTCTAGGTTACGCAGCAATAAAAACCTTCAAATCTCAGGGACTTAAAGTAATAAGAATGTATTCAGCTTATGCTTCCTGCTCATCACTCCAGGACCCAGCCTGCAGGAGGGTCTATCCAAACAGGTGCTTTTGTAATTGCTGTGGTGGGAGAAAGGAAATAAGGCAAATTGTGCATTACTCTTACAGTTTCTCCCAAGGAGTGACACATGTCACTTCTGCTCACGTTTCATTGTCCAGAGTGAGCCATATGGCCACTTTTAACTTTCGTAAGATAGATAATATTTATAACAGGTAAGGACTTGAGGCTCAATGAGAGTTTATAACTTTCCCAAAGAAATGTAATCCTATCATGTGACCTTAAGGAGAAGAGCCAGAATATTCATGAACAGCCACAATGACTGCCACAATTTCTAAGAGTAAACCACAAGTTGACTTCAGGGATAGGTTTAGAAGGATGCAACTTAATGCAATAAGGGTTGAAAACCATCTGTGAGATGACAAAATGGTGACTTATTATAAGAGAGCTATGATAGTCCTTTGTGGTTCTACTTAATTGCTTAGCTTTTAATTGGTAGGATTGGAAGGTATCAGACTACTTCTTCAACAAGGCATGCCGTGAACTAGTTTTGATTTTAACAAAAATCCAGTCTTAGACAAGACAACTGAAGGATATGAAATGATGGCATGATGGGTGAATATCTAGGACTGAGACAAAGACCATTTAAAATACATGCAAGTAAATCTCCCACCTGTTGAAATTCTGAAGGATTGTCTGGACTCCTAATCATTGGCCTGGAAGGTGTGCATAAATTAGAAGAGCTCCAGGAGCTAGAATTTGGCAGAGGGTTTGCATATAAGCAACCTTTGAGCATCACGCTGCAATCCCTCCCGAACATCTTACTGAAGCAACTTGTAAGTACTTTTTAAAAACCCCATTCTTCACTAAGTCCTGTCAATTATAATAATTTTAAAAACACTGAGAGAATTTTGTCTTCCTAGTCGGTAATGTAATGCAGGCTAACACAGATGAGAAAAATCATATCTGATATGGATTCTGTTTTCCAGGACACAATTGTAGAAAGAACATGCTGCAATATTTATGCAAAGTGTTTTGGAGAAGATGGGTACAGAGGTGACTTTGGGAGTCCTGGGAGGAAGGTAAGAATTTGTTGGGTGTGGATAAGGAGAGGCAGAGAGATGATATTTCAGCACCCACTACACACCAGGCCTTGTGGTATGTATTTAACAACATTTTTTAACTTTAACCTCTTAATGAAACTTTGAGTTTCATGTGTGAAGTTGAGGCTCAGAGAGGTGACGCCACTTTCCCCAAATTGCACAGTTATGAAGATGCTTTTGAGATTTAAGCCCCTGTGTCTACCTGACTCCAAATCTTGCATTCTTTCCACCATACTATGCTGCCTACTTATGTTTATTTGACAAATAATGTCACGAATTCTACCACTGTCCGTAAGTTTTCACTTATCTACCAAATTTGCACTTGTCCAAAATCTACTTTCTCTACGGGAGTTAAATGCCTCTTTCCTTTCTATCTAGCATTCCTTTCTAGAGTATCAAACTATGAGAAAAGATACAATCACCAGTTTCATGTCCCAGTTAATTGCATCTCTAGTAACTCTGGGTTCACCAATAGGAAATTTACTAGGAAATTAACACTTTATTAGAAATGGTCCCCAGATATCCAGGCTAGCCAGGTTCCATTCTTACAGGGACTACAGGTCTATGATGGGGGTGTAATCACAAACCCTTATGTAACGTGGAGTCAAACCATTGGCTTTGGGCCATCTTTTTACCCTCTTTCCTGGGAAGGTTTTCCACAGGGGTGTTGGAATGAGCTCTTAATGGCTATTAGATAAATCTTTTTATTTAGACTAATATCAAGTTTATAATTACTTTTTGAAAAATAAACTGTTATGCCTTAGCATTAGATTTCCTTCCCTCATGTGGTTCTTTAATATCAGATTGGAGAATCACAAAATCAAGTTTGGGAACCTCTTGACGTGTACTCGTTTGGTTGCTCAGTGACCTTGCCTCAAAGGCCAAACATGTAAATGTTTAAAATGTTTGACTTCTCTTCTCTTTCTGTTTATCAGAACTCAGTAGTTGGTTGCATTGACTTTCGTATCTTTGTTGATCACAAATAAAATACGGTTTCTGGATCTTATTGACCAGTTTTTAGACTAAATAAGTACATCTGCTATAAAATGACAAGCCAGACTTTCTTGAGAGGAAATGGTTTATGTGTTTAGATATGTAAGAAGAGTAAAAATAAAAAGAAACTGGAAAGCTGAGTCATACCGAAATAAACAGTAATATGGGCAGGAAGACTTTTGCTTACAGATATTTTGCAAAACAAGGTTAAAGCCCTCTTTAAGAATTAACAGTTTTCCTTAAGCTTTTAACTAGAAGCTAGTCTTGGTTTGGATTTTTACAATAGAATGGCTCAAAAAGGTATTTATTTCCTTAAAAAGGAAAATAAGAACAGTTTGATGTACCGACTATTAAGACAAACTGGTAATCACGTTTTCATTGTAACACAGGCCTCTAGGCTGGTTTCTCTCTCTGAGTATTGTGCCTGATATTTAGTGGATTCCCAATAAAATGTCAACTCAGTGAGACGAGGATATCTATTAGTAACAATTTTTATTTCTCACAGATTTGAGAAATGAAGAATTTAGAGTCCAGATTATTTATTTTGATTTCTCAGGGCGGGAAGGGTTTTGATGGAGTCCCCGGTCATCCTGGTGAAGAAGGGGGTCATGTAAGTACCGAATCTTTTTTCTGTGAAAGAATATGGTAAAATGGATCAACTGTTAGCAATACTTAATTGTGCTTAAGGCATAAAGTTTTTCTTATCTATGCCATTTAAAGTGGATTTAAAATATCGATTTATTATAACAGATGTCAAACTTTTAAAGATATAGTTTCTAGAAGGTGTTTAATGATGCAGTATGGGGTCTGTTTTGTTTTTTAATCAGTGAATTTGAACTACCTGAAAATGTGGTCTGTGTCTAATGTTCACTCATGTAAGAGTAGTTGTTAATTATGAGATAAATTGCAGATAATTTGTTCCTGTCACTAAGATACCCATGTTTGTAAGTGGTTTAACAAAATACATTGAAGAGAATCCAAGACCATTTTTGTTACAGGTCACTCAGATGCCTTCCCAGGTGGCCGAGAAGGTGATGGAGTTACAGTTAGCCACCGTGAGCCATAACCCTGGCCACACCCCTGGGAATGTGCCGGGCAAGTGGCAGTTATCTACCATGTGACTGTCAGCAGAGAACATGTATGTTATAGAGAGCATTGTGAGCTAGGGGACTGAGATGGTGTAGGGACCATCTTTATTACATAATATAATACCAAAAGGATTTAAAAATCCCATGGATTTCAGTTAATTTTGAATTATGGAAAATCACTTTGCTGCAGGTGCCTATTTTTAGGTTGATTTACGTCTATGCCACCGGTTCTCAAACTTCTCGGCCTCAGAGCACCTTTACATTCTCTCCCCCCCCGCCCCCCGCTTTAGTGAGGTGTAAATGACAGATGAAATCATATAGTTTAAGGTATACAATGTGATGAGTTGATATATGTGAAACGATACTACAAGCAAGTCAGTTAGCATGTCCATCACTTCACGTAGTTACCATTTTTTTTTTTTTTTGTGGTGAGAACATTTAAGATCTCCTCTCTTATCAAATTTCAACTATTTAACACAGTATTATTAACTATAGTCACCAGGCTGTACGTTGGAACCCCAGAACATCTCTCCATTTTCCCCACCCCTCAACTTTTACCCTCTTAAGGATTATTGAGGGCCTCAAAGAGCTTTTGTTTACGTGATTTCTACCTATTGGTCTTTACCATGTTAGAAATTAAAACTGAGAAGTTAAAAATTATTTATTTACTATCTTATTTCGAAATTTAAAAAACCCACTATAGTTAACGTACATGACATATTTCTTTGTGGAAAATAACTATATTTTCCAAAACAAAAAATATTAGTGAGAAAAATGGTATTGTTTTACCTATTTAGTTTATTAGAAAACAGCTGAATTTGCATATCTGCCTCTGTATTCAGTCTGTTGTGATGTTGCTTGCCATGTGGCCTCTTAAAAACTCTACCACACACTTGGGAGAGAATAAGAGTAAAAAAGGAAAATAACATTTTGGTGTAATTGGGAAAACAATTCTAATTACATGGCCCTTCTGAAAAGGTCTTGGGGACATGAAGGGCCTTATGACCACCCTTTCCAAACCACTGGTATCTATGTTCTCTTTGATCCTCTTACAGTGGCACATTGTTTTATTATTCTGAACATTTACACTGTCTGAACTTGGAAAATAAGCAGAAATTCGGGAAAAATGCAGCTGTTGAGATCCATGTAAGCCAACTCATTTCTTCGATTACGTTTACAGGAGAATTGCTCAACTTTTCTACTTATTTTTCCTCAGTGAACATAGCCTTAGGTGTTAGAAATACATTCAGGAATATGAATGATGGATTTTTGCTATTTTGTTTAGAAATAATGAAAATATTCCCTCCCATTTTTATGATGTTTTTAAATGTACTCCAAGTGCTATTTTATTTTTTCTGCTTGGCCTATTGTTCAATGAACCCATCTAAAGTTAGGGGAATGACTTCAGACCCATCCAACCCATTAGGATGATTGACTCCAATTTCAGACAAATAGGATAAGCAAACTTTTGCCTGTCTCAGGTGAGGGATGGTTTTGTTCCCTCTTCTCTACTTCCCTACCTTCATAAAACCAAGATATTTTATAAAGACTCCCTAGTACCTGGCTAGAAATATAATGCAGGTGACATTTATAATTTTAAATTTTATAGTAGCTACCTTAAAGAAAGTAAAAAGAAACAGGTGAAAAGTTAATTTTAATGTTTTATTTAACTGAATATATCTACAATATCATTTCATTTGCAATTAATATAAAAATTAGTGAGACATCTTACTTTTAAAAAATACACTGTCTTCTAGATGTTATTTTACACTCACTTTGGACCAGACACATCTCAAGTGCTCAATAGCCACTGTGGCTAGTGGCCACTGTATTTGACAGAGCTGCTCCAGTAGGTATCAGTTTCTTTTTAACGCATTTCTCACAAGACGAGGTGACTCGCAGTGTGTTGTCCTCTGAATGGCTTTTAATGACATTTCCCTGAAAAGCAGGTCAAATTGGTCTGCTCAACAGCAGAGACGTCTCTGTGCAGATGGGACGGTTTCAGAATGGGGCCCATAAATTTGTAGGTTCAAGTTGAAAATGTAAAAGGACAAATAACTAACTCATTGTTCCAGTTATCTATAACTAACTGTTCCTTCTCCCCAAACCCCTCACAACTTAGTAGTTTAAAATAATCATTTTATTATGTTCACAGTCTCTGTGGGTGGGGAAACCAAAAAAGGAACGAACTCTTTCCTCCACGTCTGGGGACTCAGCTGGGTTGACTAGATGGTCTGGGCCTCTAGAATCTGGGGCTCTAATCCTTTTGTACTGCTGAGATGGCCACTTCTCTCACACATATCGTGCCTGGGCTGGGATGATGCAAGGACAGACAGAGCAGGCGCTGAGAGCGAGCATTCCAGGGGAGGTCTGTCCCGCAGGGAGTGCTCCAGGAGACTAAGGAGAAGCTGCAAGTCTTCTGGCCGAGCCTCAGATGTCTGCAGTAGCATGGCTGTCTCATCTGTTGATTGCAAGCCAGTCACTACGTCCAGACCAGATTCAAGAGGAGGGAAATTAAACTCCTTCTCTGGATAAAGGCGGGGCAAGGTCCAGAGCATGTGGAATGGGAAATCTCGTGGTCCAGCTTTGGAAAATACAACCTGCCAGACTCAAGAATTCTATACATTTTAAAAATTTATCTATTACAAGTGGGTGGTTTAAACAATAACTTATGCATGGGTTACACATCAAAGCCTTGGTTATAGATCTAAGTCAGATTATCTAAGGTCACAGAAAATATTTATGTAACTTCAGTAGTAACAAAAACATCTAATATTTGTTGAGAGCTTTGTATATGCCAGACGCAGGACTAAATATTTTGTATGTTTCCTCATTTTATAATATATACGCATAAGACATTATTGTTATTCCCATGTCTTGTAAAATAATTTGAACCAGCCAAGCAGTTGAAAAGCTTTTGGTGGTGTTACTCCTTCCATAAAGTCATGGAATTATTATAGCTTTATAGCTTATTATTTATAGCTTTAAGCAACAACTGTGAACAAATGAAAGAGCAGTTTTTAAGCATGATACAGCTTAGTAGTTGAATGAGAAACACAATAAGCCTAAATTTTGTTCTTCAAACAATTTAACATATGTGTTCATATATAAGATAATTTCTATTTACTCATGAGAACATCCTAAAAAATGTTTTTATCAAATTAGAATATTTAAGCTTTTGGGGATGTAGATGAAATGGATATATGTTACTTACAATATTTAATTTATTTAGTTACACATAAGCAGGTTGCAGTGTGTTAGGCTGATGCCACTGTACTCTATGCACTCTGCCCTGGGCAACAGAGTGAGATTCTGTCTCAAAAAAACAAAATAAAAACAAAAAATAAAAAAGTGACTTTAAAAAGTCTTCTTTGCATGGCATTAAAAATTTGTAATTGTGAGATCTCACACTGAAATATATTAAATAAATTTCTGTTAGATTTCTTTACCTAACTCATCTGGTGGGTGATCTCCATAGCATCCTATAAATATTTCAAATCAATAATGATGGTGTGTCAGTACTATGCTGTTCAAAGTAAAGTAAAGGAGAGAGTACTCTGAAATAGGAGAAACTGTGTGGACCTTGTGAGGTCTCAAATTTAAGACTACTCTTTTTTTCTGGGGATTAATTTTGGGAAAACATGCTTAATCTTTTATGTATGGCAACTGAAACTTTTAGAAACTGGGACTAGAAGTCACAAGAGTGAGTTTATTTCATTTTCTTCACAGTATACTTTTTAATTGTGGTAAAATACATATAACATAAAATTTACCGTCTTAACCATTTTTAAGTGTACAGTTCAGTGGTATTAAGTACGTACACATTGTTGTGCAGTCATCACCACCATCCACCTCCAGAAATCTTTTCATTTCGCAAAAGTGAAACTCTGTATGCGTTACACACTAACTCCCTCTCCCTCCACCCTCTGGCAACCACCATTCTATTTTCTGTCTCTATGAATTTGACTACTCTAGGTACCTCGTACAAGGGGAATCACACAGTATTTGTATTTTTGTGACTGATTTGCTTAGCTTAATGTCCTCAAGGTTCTATGTTGTAGCATGTATCAGAATTGTCTTCCTTTTTAAGGCTGAATAATATTCAGTTGTATGTATATATCACATTTTGTCTACCCATCCATCAGTCGATGGACACTTGTGTTGCTACCTTTTGGCTATTGTGAATAATGTTGCTGTGAATGTGGGTGTACAAATATCTCTTCAAAACCTTGCTTTCAATTCTTTTGGGTGTATATCCAGAAGTAGAATTCCTGTACGATATGGTAATTGTATTTTTAGTTTTCTGAGGAACTGCCATACTGTTTTCCACAGTATGGCTACAAAATGGCTACACCATTTTACATTCCCAACAATAGCACACAAGGGTTCCAATTTCTCCACATCCTTGCCAACACTTGTTATTTTCTGTTCATTTTTTTTAAAATAATAGCCATGCTAAGAGTGAGCTTATTTTTAATTTTTTCATTAAAAACAAAACTTTGAGAATTTTTCCTTGGTGTCCCTGCTTTGTCAGGGACATTTGTTTTATGTATATCAACCATTTTCTAATAAAGACAACAACCGATTATTCGTGATTGATAACACCGTACAGTGCAATATAGTGCAGTAGATATGTTAGGGTTACATTTACCAGATAAAGCTTAAACACCAACGTTGAAGCTAAAAATGCAGATAGACTAGGAGGAAGGGGAGAAAACAGACATTTATTTAGCCGCTACGTGTGTCAAGCCCTGTGTTAGGCATTTTGAATATGTTATCATATTTGATCTTCACTACTACCTTACATGTTAATACTTTCATTTTACAGAGGTGGAAGTAGAAACTCAGATAGAGAAAGTGACTTGTGAAGGTCACATAGAGAGTGTTGGAAACCTGTCTGTCTGATGCCAGCACCTGTGCTTTTCTCATAATCTCTTGCTATCTGTTAAGTATAAAACACCTCGTTTGTTCAATCCATATGATTTGTGATATTTCCATTACAGTATTTCATGTGTTCAATATAGCAGTCCTGTAAGATGGTTAGCATCAATATTATCTAGATCCACATTTACAAAGGGTGGAAATTGTGATTCACAGCATCATGTACTTGTCCAAGCTCACAAAACAAGCTGGAAGCAGAACCAGGACTCAAATCCAGGCCCTTTCATTCTAGATCCAAAGTGCTTCTCATTTTATCATATGTCTTTTTACTGTTCTGAGTAGTAATCTAACTTCATTAAGTCAAAGTTAGATGTTACAAATGTAGATTCTCTTTTGATTAAAGCTCATGCAATGTGCAGTATTTTCTAATTCATATTTGATCAATTTGGCAAAAGGCATGATACATACTATTCCCTTCCTTATCTAATGCTGAGACGAAAGATTATATTCATTAATGTAGTTCAGTAATTCATTCAATCCTGAATGGATTTGTACATCCTGGTGTCTATTGTATGTCATATGCTATGTCTGGGGCTAGAAATGCAGAGATAAATAAGACGTTGTCCTTGTCTCTATGGAGCTCACAATATAGCAGAAGATTTTGATATTTAAAAAAAATTTCACTATGCTGTATGCCAAGCTGTATTCCCAAAATGCTACAAGGAAACTGAAGGGGCAATTGGGCGGGGTCAACAGAAAAAGCTTCTCAGGAGAGGAGGTGACAAATGATCTATAAACGTTAGGAATGGGTAGGATTTCACCTAGAAGAGAAAGAGTTCAATAACAGTTTATTCTTTGTGAGACCACAAGGAAACCTCCATCCAATTTTAGCTGTCTGAGGGAAGTGTTCAGACATATCTTCTGTTTTATTTAAATTCTGAAGTTTTGCCCATGTGGCTTAACTGCAATCTGAATGCCTTGCAGATGCCCAGGTCTTCGAGGCTGTAAAATCAACAGCAAGGACTGTGTCATATTTTAGTCATTTTGACTATCATTATTGCTGGCGTGAGTTGGCTGGGTGGTGACAGACAGTGGCTTGACTGTCTTCATGTGTCCTCTTATTCCACAGGGAGAAAGAGGCCCCCGGGGTCTTCCTGGACTCCGAGGTGAGGAAGGATGCCTGGGTATGAAGGGACCTCCGGTGAGTGTGGCCTTGAGCTGTGGGATTCTTTCCCTTCCTTGGTTTTATCCCTTAAGTTTGAGGAAAATCTCAGTTCTTCAACATAGCTGTGGGGTCTTAGCTGCTCCTCAGACTGTAGGTCTTTTCTTTTACTTCCCAGAAGAAAAGCCCAAGAAAAGAAATCAACTGCAAGTAGTTTACTGGGAGGTGATGCCAGTAAACAATAGCAGGGGAGTGAGGAAGTGAGAGAAGGAGTGAAGGGGGCCGGAAAAGGGTACATTACCAATCAGATTACCACTGTGGGTAGGTGGGGCTTAACCCTGCTGAGGCGCTCTGCCAGCCGGGGTTGAACATGCGTCTCAGTGTTGTCGCAGTCAAGGGGTCAGGGAGCTGCATGGTTCACACACCACATCCTAGCAGGCATTAGCTGAAGGCTGCTGCCAGGAGGCATTAATTTCCTAGCCCTTTTGACTTGTCCTGCGTGTGGGTGGAGCAGGCCTTGGTCTCAGGAAAACCCTTAGGAAAAGAGTCATGGGTGCTGGTGGCTGGAAGCAGACTTGAGAACACTGAAATTTCAAAGGCTGAAGGGATATAGGTGGGGCACCCTGTTTGAGTGATTGCATTAAATGTCCCTTAACCATCCAGGATTGGAGAATCTCCTTTGATAAGGCCAAAAAAATTTTCTATAATCAAGACGTCCTAAAGAGAGTTTTCCTAACCACAATGACCATGTTCTGTTTATCCTAACAAGTTACTCTTTTGACTAATTTGTTCTGTTGTTCTGGAAGCCCTCTCATGCTTGCTAACCAGTGTAGTTTCAACTTTGTGTGGAAAATATGATTAACTTAATAATAAGTGGCAGGTCACTGTTGTTCCCTTTCATCCCTACTATGTGAGGAGATGCAAGGTGCAATTTTCTCCAGGTCCCGGGCAAAGGAGGGTGGTAGTAATCAGAGTGCTGTGATGCCTATTGCATTTACTAAAGAAGGCATCTTCATTTTGATCTAGTACTGTAATTGTATTTTATTCAAACCAGGGAACATATGGTTTCCTAAATGAAACAAGGGCTTAAATATCTCATTCAAGCTTAATTCTTTTTATTTCTTTCTAACTTTAGGGAGCAACAGGATTTTCAGGAGAGAAGGTAGGTAATCTCCTTTACTTAAATTGGATAGCAGTTTCTCTGGGAAACACAATACTGAGTTTGATTGCTTTTCCTGTGCTTGAGTGAGGTGAGGCTTAAAACTTTTACACAAGGGAATATGTCAGATGATATTAATAGCCAGACTGCTATGCTAATGAATGACTATTTGTAAGACATGTATTTTAGGTTTAAGGCTTGATATATATTATTATTTTCAAGCCTTGCTGACTCTATAAAAATTGAGCCACAGTATTGATGACAAGATGGTCTAGAAGAGTTGGTCCTGAACCCAAGGTGTGGCGGGAGGGTCTGGTCAAGGTGGGTGTCAAATGGGAAAGGAGTGCTAGAATAGGATTGGAAGGAAAGGAGTTGGCATAATAAGGGAATGACTTTACACCCAGATTTAGAACCAAAGTACCCATTTTCTCATTCATTCACTCAAAAATATTTATTAGGTACCCACTCTGTTCCCCACATTATCCTACGGAGTGGTTACAAGATGATGAACAAGACAGACAAGGGCTTTCGGAGCTTCCTTTCTCATGTCTTTTGGTACCACCAATTTGCCTCTTGTGTCCTGCGGCAAATGTATCCTGTAATTCTAGTCCAAAAGTTTGGTGTACTTATTTTCATGTACTAACTTAGCTGTGCTTTGGTTTAAAAAAATGCCCAAAACCTGATTTTCTTCAGTGGACAGTAAGAGTAAATCAACTATTTCACACATATGAAATACATTTACTTTGCTTGAAAAACTGTATTTTTCTTCAAAAGATGCTTCATAATGAATATATTATCTGTCATGTTGATATAGTTGGCAAAGTGAAGGGTCCATAATTTGAAAGTGATGGAATATTTGATGAGATGTCACTGTGCCACTGCCCATTTTTACTCTTATCACTAAGCCTCAGTTTTTCTCTTTTTTTTTTTTTTTTTTGAGACAGAGTCTCACTCTTTTCCCCAGGCTAGAGTGAGTGCCGTGATGTCAGCCTAACTCACAGCAACCTCAAACTCCTGGGCTCAAGTGATCCTTCTGCCTCAGCCTCCCCAGCAGCTGGGATTACAGGCGTGTGCCACCATGC